GGGCATCTCAAGGCCCAGGTCGGAATGCAGAACGTGGCACTTCATCGTATTGTCGGATTTTCTTTATGCCTTGGATGGTGGGCTGATATCTACCATACCGGCTGACCTACTATGGGAGACTGTTTCAGGTGCGATCCACCAGGGAAACTGCAAAAAAAAGGTGTCATTGCTGTCGTGTGTGCTTACTGCAGACCCTCAAGCCGTCAGGAGTGGAGGTTCGCCAGGCCCTCATTCTCGCCGATACCGAAATGGTTCTTCCGGCTCAGCAACGGCATCGGACGAGAAGAGGAAAACCTCTGGTCTTGCCTATCGCTTCGACATCCATTGCTTCGTAAGTGAACTGCACCAGCCATCCACCTTTCTGTGTCCACACGAAGGCAACCCTGTTCGTTTGCGCGTGGTTATCTTTGCTCAGCGTTGACGAGGTTGGCAGCTTCATAGGTGCACACACACACGTCACCCACGCCACAGGCAGGATAAAGGAACACACATTGGTATAACCCTCTTGCTATCCTCAGGCTGCACATCGGGCACGAGCGTCGCCGAGGCTGCGAAGAACGAGGCGCGCTTATATAGTATCGCCAGCAATGAGGCGTGGACGCTTACAAGAGCCAACCAAGGTAGGAAACATGAGCACACACATCTTGGCTCCGTTGAACAACGCGTCTGTGGTCTCCCCTTCCTCAGAGGTTGTGCTGCCCTGTGTATGCGTTTCAGAGAGACACGTTTGAAAGAGACACGCTCGAAACCGATTGACTTCGTCCCAAGTCAGACAGGTACGCGCTTCAATTGCGTCTCGAGCTTTTCATTCCTATTCTTCTAAGACAATCAGGCTACGTATCTTGTCGAACACAATGAGGAGGACGGCTTCCCCTCTACCGAGTTTCTGTCGACTCTGATGATGTCTCCAACTGAGATGGTACTTCATGAGCCAAAACTGCTCGAGACACAGACGAAATGGACGTCTACTTTGTGTCCAGCTCACAGAGGTCTTGGTCGACGGACTCATCCACTTCGCCTGGTCGAAATTCTGGACGACCGTCAATCAGTACTCAATCAGTAAGAGCATGAAATTCACATCTAGAGATTTCTTCGCACCGCCATCGATCGCCTGTAGTGCCGGCAGAGATGGCGTTGGGCTATGAACGGAGGTGCTGGGGACACGGCGACATCGAATGGAGGGTCGTTGTGCGCTGGAGTTCCACCGAAAGCACCGAGAAGGGACCGGCGCAATACACCTCGACGATTTCGGGAGTTGAGACGGGATATTCCGCGCACCCCGACCTTTCGGTTCACGTCGACGCTTGACGAATTAAGCCGGTGGTGCGCGTCGGCGCCATCAAAGGCAGCCGCCAAGGCAGCCCCAAAGGCAGGACCAAAAGCCAAAGGCAAGGCACACTCAAAGGCAGTCGTAGTGACGTACTCTTACAGGCTGCAGTGACAGTACGTCGCTATTAATCGATTCACTACCTTTTCTGCTGTAAGACTGTCTTCTTTTTCATTGGCATGTCTCTCTACTGTGCAGGACCTTTCGTGGCTTCATCGCTGCATGGGTGCCAATCAGCGGCTCCCTGGACAACTTCCGTCACTCCGCTTCGATTTAAAGATGAGCCACCCCATCTTTAGCGGACGTATGGAAGACTGGGAGTCCTGGTCCTTCCAGCTGAAGACAACGATGATGGGGAAGCAGATTCTCCCAATTGGATTCCCCCGTGCTCTCTGCCGAAGAATATGTAGCATCTTGAAGAGCTGAGGGCGATGAGAGCACTCCGAGATGCCACCAATGCGGGCTATTGAAACTTGCTGCAGAGATCGATCTTCTCGCATGATCAAGACGCGTCTGCCGCCGCTGAAGGGGGTGGTTCACGCTGGCGGAGCAGCCGAGTTGGTATCGATCCGCGAGCACACGAGCCTTCATTGCCCAGCACATGGACTAGGCGGGCGCGACAAGGGACTGCGTCTCGTTCGAGAAGCCGAGACCAGATACGGCTACGACGGATCGCTGGCCTGCAAAGCCTGCCGGTCTTTCATCCTTCTACGTTACTATCTTCAAAAGCCCTCTTCATCCCCCACATCGAGCAGGTAACACGGTCGCTTCAGGACAACTCTTCGGCCGACTCGGTCGGTGCAGGCAGCCCCCAGACTGTCATCCGCGAGGAGAAGGAGGAAGAGCTGGCCCCGCCAGACACCGAGGCTGCATGCCGTCCGACGAGTGTTCATGGGCTAGCGACCACGCTAGGGGAGTACGTTGAGTACTATACACGGGCGATGCGAGTTGCCATCCACCGTGTCATCGGGTGAGAGGGCAGCCGATCGGGACACTGGACGGGGAAGGACAGGGGATGGATGTTGTGTGTGCGTGTGTGCGCGTGTGTGTGTGTGTGTGTATGTGTCTCAGGCGCTTGTCCCTAAAGTGTGGCGACCAGCCTGGCGGGCGCGATTGGACGCCTCGGCCGCCCCCTATCCAGAACCGACTACAGGGAAGGATTAAAGTGTGTCTCCCGAGACAAAGGTGGCCGTGAGACATACTCATAGATAGTGACACATATGTGTCTCGCATTTGATCAGTCCTCGAAGGGTGGCGAGACTTACGAGAGTCAGTCGCCGAGAAGACTCCTGGCGAGCCACGTGGACGGATTATTCCTGGCCCACCCTGGAGACCAGACGCAGGTACATTATCTGATGTATATGTATATGTGTGTCTCTGTCCATCACAACTAGCACTCCCCGTCACGTATCCGATTGGGCTCAATCCATCTAAACTCAGGTTGATGGCCAATTTCGAGCACAGCCAGCGTTGCGGACGAGGAGAGCTGCACTTTGAGGTCGATCACCTCGGCCTCATCCCCACCCGTCGTCTCATTGGTGCCGATCAGGATTCCACTCTCATGTGCACTGTGTGCACAGACGTCCACACCATACGTGGCAGGACGGGACATCATCAGTTGCTACCGGTAGACATGAGACATTGTTTGTATGTCTGAAAGGATTGGATTGGCCTGCTTGTATGTAACCACCTGCTCCAGCCTCAGCTCTTGACTGGCCAACGGCACTCGCCTGAGGATCAAGGCCATTAAAAACCGTCCACGGGGGACGCTTGCCTCGACGACTGCACACAGTGAGGCACATGAGTCTGGAGACATTACATATGATCCCGCTGTCAATCCACAGCGATCCTCTCATGGACGCTGAGGAAGACGTCGGCCCTGAAGATGACGACGTACGTGTTGCGGGCGGGGGGTGGAGGGGAATGCAGAGCAAGAGAGGCGAGCGACTCGCAGGGTTCTTTGAATGTCTCTCTGGTTGTGTGTTGCTGGTGTGTGTGTGTGTGCATGTACGTGTGTCTCAGGTCACTTAAGCGTGTAGCGGAAGTCTCTGCGACAAGCAGTTCTCGGCTCTAGGCCGGAAGACGAGGAGACGAGGCCGCAGAGGAATGAGAGCTACCGCTACCCTATGGCGACCCGAACGTGGTCAGTCATGCGCGTGATGCATACGCCATGGCCGATGATGCGTTCACACACCCCATCTTCGCCCCCCGTCCTTACGATAAGGATTCCCGCTCGTGTCTCGTGTTATGGGGACGTGTTTGTGCAGGTGGCAGAACGTTGACGTTCTGCTAGAAGAATCCTTTGATCTGGCAATTGTTCCCGATCCGTAGCTGTAGCTAGACAGGTTAGTCAGGTAGTCAGGTAGTCCTCTCCCGCATCCGCCAGCTCGAGGGGGAAGCAAAGGCGAAGGGTGAGCCAAAAGAGAAGGCAATAGGAAAGACAAAGGCACGGGGAAACGGAAAAGCAAAGGCAAAGGTGGGTGGGTAGGGGTAGCAATAAACATCCAGGTGTTCGCTGTCGAGGTGTCTACTCGAGAACCGCTCTCTGATCTGATTGGTACGCGATTAAGACCGCGTGACACCCAAAGAGCAGGTGAGTTGATGTATGGCTGCATCAGATGTAGGCTGGATGGATGGATGGATGTGTGTGTGGCTGTGGCTGTTTGCGCAGCTGTGCGCACGTCTGTATACGAGCGAGTTTTTGGACAAGGACATCGCCATGGCGGGCAAGCAGGGCAGGGTGCCGTTCTGCTAGGAGCCCGACTGCAAGCAGAACGACAGTGCCCTGCTCGCCAAAGTTGCCAGTGGGCAAGGGGAGAAGGGGGGGGGG